TCTCCGAACTAATAGTAAAAGCATATTAGACTGAGTAAATCATACGTAATGTCTCCACTGCAGACATGTAAAGTTAGGTGAGATAACACAATGAAATTGCTGATGGTGGGATTCACAAGTCTAGCCCTTTTTTGTAAATGAATCTCAATAGGTTTGATATTTTCTGTCAAAATACAATGTGGAAAGGAACTTTGCCATTGTCAAAGAGTGTTTTGAGGATGAAATAATCCAGAGAAGTAAAAATATAACCACAGTAAATTAACAGGCATAGCTACTTAAGTGTATCCTAAAGATGGCAAAGAAAAGCTGACAGCTGTCACAGAAGTGGCAATGGTCGGATAGCATCTGAAAAGCTCATTATATTGTTGAAAGAATGACACTTCTAGCAGAAAGAAAGGCAAGGCATCGGACCTCCTTATGGAAAATCTGTCCAGTTCCTCAGCTTCTCCTGTTGCATGCTTTCTTGTTGGCATGTTTGAAATGTTTCTTCTGTCCTCTGGGCTTCGACAATTATTTTGCCTCACATAATCTGAACTACTCAACACACTCCTGACTTCATGGTCCATCTCCAACGTGTGTCTTGCATTAGAAGCCTGAAAGCAAAGTCCCTGCTTCAAGTCCCCTTGCCACCCACTCCCTGGGGAGATCCTGTAATAAAAGACCCTATTTTTGAATTTGATAATGAAGAGTTTTACTGTGTCTGGGGCTTACTTGCAGGCTTGCTGGGCAAAGGAAGGTACTGATATTGCTATGTACTTACAGATAATTTCTTCTTTTCCCTGCGTGTGGGCACTGGGACCTAGCTTACCCACATGCAGCTAGTACCGCTTTATGGAAACCATACTGGAAACTGACACATAAATATCTGGATTTGTCACAAGGCCGGCTAAAAGAGACATCAGCCATAAAGATGCATGCTTCAGAAGCAGAATGGCAGCATCTTCTCCTTTTTGTACCCAGAGCCCCTTACTTATCAATGTGCCTGTTCTCTGTCCAGCCTGTGCCCATGAGGTTGTGTACTCAGCTTGCTGCTGTAGATCTGCTATGCAATCATCCCCTGTCAACCAGGACAAAGAGGACAGTGGCCAGCTGTCCCAGACTTAAATGTCCCCATCTGCATACCTACGTGCTCCTCTAGAACCAGCTCTGTTTTAAGGAGTTACCTATTGCAACCTAGTCTTGCTACTGTGAAAATGTGCATTGGGTGGTGGCTTTTCCAACTGAGTATGATGTCATCACCAAGGGAGTAGGGAACTATACAATAAACAAGGTGATAAGCAGGTTTGGGAGATGTCAGGAATCAAGCCATCTCTTTCCAGGCCATTACAGGTAGGTAGGACAAATGATCAGACCAGCTCAAAGGCAGGCTGCTGGTTTTCATGCCTGTAAGGTGAGTAACTGACCTTGTAGTCAACTCATACAACAGTGTACCTGGTCTGCCAAGCACTCTGACAAAGAAGAATGTTGTAATTATTTGTGCATCCAAAGATGTGACACTAGGAGAAAAACTGAAATAAGACTCTGGGATTCAGATGAGAGAAGGGATAAAAGCAGTATAAAATGATCCAAATACAATGTTTTTCATCCGTCTTTATCTCTTCTATCTGCAAACAAGCTTTTAAACTTCTTTGCTGTGTACTGAGAGAGCTTCCTAAGCAGGAATCAGGACACTGCTGCATCTTTCATCTGTGTAAATGGCACATATCCTCTCGTGCTCAAAGAGCAGACTGAACATGTTCAAGTCAGTTTCTTCCCCAAAAGCTGTGTCTGTCAGTTTCCACTGGCAGGACATGATGGTCTAAAATGTCTAAGATTAGAAAATAAGGGAGACAGGGCAGCTGTGGCCCAAAATTGCCCATTGTCTTAGAAGAGTGAGATTTTAGGGTGGCAGGACGTTGCTGTAGTATTTCTGCAACTTACTGGCTACGTTATAGCTCCTACCATAAGAAGGCACCTGAAATGTGACCTAGCAAAGGGAACAGCGAGCTTTAATGGACACTCCAGATGTTTGGCTTTAGCCACCCACCCTTGTTAAGATTCTTACATGGAAAAGACATACTAAGTTTCCAAAACTCAAGACATATTCCAGGAACTTAATTCTCCTGCCTCCCATTGCTTGCCTTCTGCTCTGGTTTGTCTCGCCTCACTTTCAGCAGCAGGATGATATTCCCTTACTTCTACTTCTACATCATTAGTGCATTTAAAGATCCAACTGAGGTATCTCTAATTCTGTATTCCACTTTACCTGGTGATTAGTGGTTGTTCCACAACTCATTTTCTTTTGATTTCTGATGAAAATGTTGTACCTTTGAGACTTCAGCAATATGGGAGGACCACGCTTCCTTTGCTGAGCTGCAATGAGCAACTGCTAAAACACTGTACCGCTTTGTCAATTAAACATCACTGTTGTAACATGGATTTTTGTAGAAAGGCAGATGTTATTTATTGAGGCAATATCTAATCTTTTCTTTTTTTAACCAGAAAAGAGAATAGATATTCCTGGCAATACTGACTTTAGACATCAGGTTTCTAATCTTGAAAAAAACCTTTCAATTTTTCCCAACTTGCCGTCCCTCTGACTGTTTGCAGTCTCAGATGAGATTTGCTGTTTGTGGCTGCCAGCCTGAAGAAATGATATGGCTTACATCACCTCAAGAATGTTGCTCCTCTATTTTGGGCTTTGTTTTTTAAATACATTTAAAAAGCACAGTACAAGGGCATATGTATCCCGAGAGCAGCAGGAGAATGTTTAAAAGTATACTAAAATATTAAAAGATTATTTCTGCATCCTACTGTCTTCTTTTTGAAATGAGTCCGCACCACTGAAAGAAAAGAGGTAAGCAGATCTGGAAAAACACCCCATAAAATCTTTAAATCACGTAAAAAATGCTTTAAGTAACTAACTAAAAAGTGGTGCATGTACCTCTGCAATTGTTGTGCCCTAAACATTTCCTAAACCTAAGCTTTAAGTCTTAGAGAGAACTTTGAATGGGCACTGCTCAGGCTTTGCGTAAGAAAAGGTTTAAAACAGTACATTTGCTATTATGACTACTTTTACAGACTAAGACTTTGGAGGCAAATGCATGAATGAAATATATGAAACTATTTTGTAGTTCATGTAATGGCAGGCAATCCTCTTCCATAAAATCTGCCTTGTCTTAATTCCACATTGGAAACTAGTAACTACTCAGAAGCTTAGATCTAGTCCATGAAGCAGGGAAGTGCCTGTCTAGGAAAGGCCATTAATGCCAGTGATTCAATGGGATCACTGAAGTTATTAACCATGAGTCATCAATGTTTCTGTTCGGGACTAACACCTGTGTTTGCAGCACCTGATAGGCTTCAATACTCTGCACTCAATTTTGTAACTCAACAGCCAAGCTTTACAGCGCAGCTTTAGAATAATCTCATTTTCTTGCAATTGCAGAAATTTCCCAACACCTGTCTTAGGAACTCCGTGTGCAGTCACAATAATGATGCAGAAAAATAGGATGTAATCTGATGTGATTTGATGGTTTAGGTGATGCCCGTGCAAAAAGTAGAGGACCAACCTCATTTTCAAGCTAATATTATGGCTTACCCCACAATGACTGCAACAAAGATGCTTGGAGCTGAGGAAATTCAGTCCAAAGCTCTCATTCGCTTATTTAGAATGCTTTGAATAAAACAAATACATGATTCCTGGACTTCTGCAGCTTAAATTGATGAAGTTATTTATGTAGTATTATTTGTGACATTTTTTTCTGGAAGGGGAAGGGCAGATTATTAGTACCAATTTGCTTTAAGCCATAAATCAATTTTAGAATGCCTCGGGCCAACCATAAAAAGTATTTTTCTTTGTTTAAAATCTTTTTGGTAGAAACAATCTAGGTAAGGTTGGAGGAAGTGAATCAGAAGTCATACTCACAACGTCAAAACTGTATGGTCATTAGTCTGAATGCAAGATTTTACTAACATAACAGATGGAGCTTGGCCTTTGCTGTCTGGAGGGACATAAGTAATTTTTATTTACACAAGTTATGAAAGCAAAATAAATGTTCAGTTCTTGAGTTCTTACAATGACTTTTTCCTGTGGCACAATGTCGTATCAGTTCAGTCACCTGAGACAAATTGGTGGATGGTTTCACCCTGTCCCCTGCAGTGACTGTAAGGTGAAAAGGATGCCTGCTCTTGTGACAGCTGCAGCCATGTACTCTCTCTACAAACCTTTCTGCACAAATGTTTTCATGATCATTACTTAGTGGCAACTGAAGATCCCTTCATCCTGCCTTGGGAGTTGGGGAGAGAGTGGGTGGCGGCACTCCTGCTTCTACATTTTTCCTTGCCTTACCACAAAGTACTAGGAAGTCCGAGCTATTTGCAGATGGATTGTCTACAACATAATTCATCTACTCCCATGACAGTTCCCCAGCAGAAACTACATTGCAAATCAAGTGTTTGACTACTTGTAAAGTGAATTCCACTGTTTTGATGCAAAAGGCAAGATTTTTCAAAAGATTTCTGTTCTACTGCATTTGATTTAGCATTTGTGGGGAATTTTGCCAGTAACGCCTTTGTAAGTACCATTATGGCCTATGAAATACTTGCAAAATCCTACCTAGAACATCAGTGGTTTTGTCTTCATGCTTTGTGGTTGTTTTTTCCAAGCAGATCTCAGGATTACTCAAATCATCTAATCAATCAATTACAGCCAAAGGGACTTCAGAACTGAAATCAAACCCTTAATCTGCATGTAGAAGCCACTTTTCTTCTCTGCGGTGGGCAACACCACAATATTTCACCTTCCTCCTCACCCTTAATCTTTGAAATCCCACCCCAACCCTTCAATGGATGTTTTAAGATCCCCTCTCACTGAACCTTCCTGTTGAAGTGCCATCAGGTGGTAACTAATTGCAGTGCAACTGCTGTTTTGCAGTTTCTGATTTTATTAGAAACCACAAATTATGCAGCAAATTATGGGAAGAAGAAGAAGCAGGGTTAATAACAATACACAAATTTACCTTTGGGTCATGTATTCCAGAAAGCTCTTCATAGATCTTCTCTCCCACCATGACAGCAGCTAGGTTGGCTGTATATGTGGACAAACAAAACAGACAGAAAATAGCCCAGAGATTCATTAAAAACCTTCCAGTCCAGCACTTGGGGGGTTTGATGGCAGCTGTTCTTCCAAACAAGATCGCATAGCAGACGTTCAGGGCAGAGGAGAAAGAGAAGACTTTGTTCCTATTCCTTCCTTTGGGGGTCATCCCAAAAGGACTTTTCCACTCATATAAGGTGAGGAATATAGCTGTGATGTGGAGAGCAACAAATATCCCCAGCCACATTGTCCAGTGAAGTGGCCACATAAAGGCTCCAATAGGAGCTGCTGTGTCTTTGGTTCTCACCAAGATCCCCAAGCTGGTTGAAAAGAAAGGGCTTGTGAAATCAATCACTTGGCTGCGGGCAGTATTAATGCTAAATGATGTCACTGCCATGTGAGCTGTGCCAGCAAGAAGGTCTCCCACCAGCCCTGTCCAGTGGCCATTCTTCCAGGCTCCGTATTTGCCATCACCAACAATGTACAAGTCAAAATCAAAATTCATATCCTCAGCTAGCTTCTCCAGTAGGTCAATGCAGTAGCCATAGCAGCACTTCTTCAGCTCAATGGGAACAGTGTCATTCCCTCCTTGAAGAGTTTCAAACAGGTTATCCAGCACGGCTGAATCATTGGTCAAAGGATCCAGGCACAGCTGCCCTGCTGGGCAAAGACCTTCATCATCTACATCTCTTGTAAAGACAAACGGATGCTCAATGAGAGTTACCACTCTGAGGTGCAGCCGGGTGGGATGTTGCATGTGATTTTTATGTCTCTGGGCCTGTTCTGGCCATATCCCATAGTCCATTATTATCTTTCCTTCTTGCCAGCTCCCCAGACGAGTCCACATTGGGTTCCCAACTGGGTCGTGCTGCAGATTCCAGATGAAGAAGTTGTTTTCTGAGCTGACAATGGAGGAGCCTTTCACCTTAATGTGGCCACTGAGACCATCAAAAGTTGTATTGGCTAAAAACCTGTTGGTGGGAGAAAGCAGAGTAATCATAAGCAGACAAGTGAAGTCATCATGCTAAAGCATATGCAGGCACCATGAATTTACATTTAAGAGAATAGACTGGGGATGTTGAACACCTGGATCATTAATATCTTTCCTATGGCACAACAAACAAGCCACTTAATTTATGACTAAAGTACTTGGGAATGCTCTCCTATGTATCTTATCTAATGCAAATGAAAACTCTTCAGGAAAGATACTCTTTTTTACTTATTAGAAAAAATGAGTGAGAGAACACCAACTTTTTCAGTTACCTTTGCCTCATAAATTAATGAAACATAGATTATTTCTAAGCTGAACTCACCAGATCTGTAGTCAGTTTCCTAGATAAAATTATGTACAAAAATGGAAGAGTGGAAATTATGTATTAATGTCCTTCCAAGAAAAATCCTATAATCTCAGTAAGATCTAGCTTACATAAGAGAGGCTACTGAAGTGCTGTCAACAGCTTTCAAGCACTCTGAAGTGAACCAATCCAGATTCAAAAATGCAAATTTAGCATTGGTAAATCACTGTTAGCCACTTCAGAGTGAAGAAGGGGACTCAGTGAAAGCTGGTTGCCCTAGAGGAGTCAGTTTTAATTCTTCCCCCCCCAAAAAAAAGGTTTATTAAAGTGTCTGCAAAAGTAATGTTCTTAAAAGTGAAATTTTGACATTGTAGCAGATCTCATGAAGTGTGCCACTTTTGCACTGCACATTTTGCATTGAGATTTTTGGGCTTTTACTATCCCATATATTCACAATAAAGTTAAGAACTTCCTTTGTATTGGCTGGCAACATTTACTAGTAGTTGTCCTCCCTGGTAAGTCATTATCAAAGAAGCTAAAATGACACAGATAAAGGAGCAGGGAACTGAGCAGGAAATAAGTGTTGTAAGGAGAAAATCCTATTTAATGTAAACACCATGACCAGCTGAACTGCACTCTGTTAATAAGAAAGCTGCTATACATTTTGCAGAGGCTGTAGAGGGACTCTACTAAGACTATGTAAGTCTTGGTATAGTGATTGTATTGAAAACAACTCAGTTAAATTGCTGCTAATGTGGTGTAAGGTAAGTTAGGCACATATTTTCCAGTAAGAGGTATTCAGAAGACAGACTATTTAGCTGTCATAGTAGAATATAACACCTCACATTAGTTCTGGAAATTGGATGAAAGCAAGTATTGAAAGAAGTATAAAGGCTATAGCTGCCATTCCAACCTCAATAAGCAAGACATAAACTTTAAGTAGTGCTAATTGTTTATCAATAGTTAGAGTGGATAAAAAATAACCTTAAATTGATTTGAAAAGGATAAATCCACAGCAAGTGTGTGTGCATGCATACTTCTGCCCAGACTCTACCCTCTGTTTTGACAGCTTTTGATGGAGTTTCAGCAGTTGAAACACTGGACTGTATATGTCTCAAGATCAGATAAGTTTTTGCCCTCAGCAAAGGGTAAATTTGGAAAACTAAATAATATAGTTTGAGTGTGGTTGTGTGTGTGACAGCCTTCTCTGAGACAACTTCAAAATTGTTCTCATGCAGTCTATTTTGAGTAGGTTGAGTTTGGAGAAAGATGATACAGCCAATACTGTCAAAAGCAATTGATCTGTACATGTGGTAACTTGGGCCTGAAAATTATACTTCAAAAGGCACATAGGTGTTTATAAATGCATATAAGAGATACATAAACATGGTTCTCATTTTTAATATCCTTTACCACGTAGTCTAGTGTTAGCTAAATGATACTGTAACTTCATTAATCAGTGGTGTCTGACACTGTTTGACTAGTCCTTTCCTCCTACCTCATGTTTCATATTTGATGGTGTACTTGCATGTTTGTGTATGTAAACACTACCAAGACTAACTTTATAGGGCAGGGCAATCTTAAGCCCTAAACAAAGGTTTATGTGCCCATAAACTTATCTGTTTTTTATCTCTTCTCCTCAGTCTTTGTAAAAAATTGCACCACTTCTTCTTTACAAGTCTTGCTGGGCTCATATGCTGAAGCCATCACTATGGCGATAACCGTAAAACCATGGCATGTGTAGATGGGTCTGTATGTTCAAAATTTTGAAAGAATGTTTTAAGTGTTGAAAATAGTATTAACAGTTCACAAAATGCCAAAATTGAGGGAAACAAGTCCTCAGATGGAATATGCTAGCAATGTTCTGATGAATTTGGCCCCATGTTGCTACTACAGCACAACCTGGATATCAGAATGCTGCAGACCAGGTGCTTTGGGAGTAGATGAAACTACGGAATAATGCCTTAGATTTATTTTCTGCAGGTAGAATGAGAACAGTGGAATTTATGCACTGTGTTCTCTGACTTTCACTGTAGAAATAAGTGTGCCCATGAGGGTGAATCGAGCCCTCTGTACCTGTCCTGTGGTTGAATTGTGTTAGAAGTTGTTACCTGAGAGATTTATCAGCATTTAAATGTATAACTTTGCTACCTCATGGAGTTAGTGGCTTACTTTTGCAGCTGATTTGCATGTTCTATATTTTTGGTAGTGACAGGACATTAATCAAAATAAATGAGGGGAACCCTGTCGGAGATACATTTTAACAACACTTTGTTTTATACACGAGTGGCTATGGCTGCTAATCATTTGCATACACTGTACGCAGCTCTAGTGAAACTCATACCAGGAACTTCACGGAAAAACTGCCATACTCAATAACTTTAGGAAGTACATAAGAGGATTTGACTGCATTACTTAAGCCAGTAATCTCTAGTGTGAATCTCTGGGAATTACATGTGCTGAGTATTGCATAGACACACTGGCAATATCTGAACAATATCTTTTCAGTAGGGCTACTGACAGATTGGCACGGAAAGATAATGTGTACAAATTTCAGATGAAGGGCCAGATCCTCAAGTCTGACAGCTGAACGAATTTCCTTGATGTTACGTCAATATGTGTGAGCTGATGATCACACTGACTGGCTGTGATAGCTGTATCAAAATTTTACTAGCATCTCTTCAGTTTGACCAATGAGTCCAAAGCATGTCATTTGCTCAATTCAGCTTTATTTGTTTTTCATGTGCTTTGTTGTAAGAATTGCTCATTACAGCTTTAGCAGTACTACCATACTGCATCAGTGATATCTTTGTAGTACATTTCAGAATGATTTAATTAAATGTTTTCATTTTCTTTCAAGCTTGATGGCTTGGTCATTCCACATCTTTCTTGGAAAGTTTACTGGAGGCAAGAACTAAAATGGGCAAGCAAATAGCAGGCTGGTGAAATTACCCAAGAAGCAGAGTTAAAGCTGTAAGACTAGTTAAAACTGTAAGACTAATTAAAGCTATAAGACAAAATGAGATTTTGAAATTTTAATGCCTTGCTCCATCAACAAGGATGCTCCCATGAGCAGGAAGGAATAGATCAGGGAATCAATCTCATTGTACGAGGAATGAAGGATGGAGACTTACAACAGTATAATCTTCAGGGGTTTGTACATCTATATCCATATCCATATAGCTGAAAGCATGCTTTGCCATGGACCAGATCTTGGTCTTGTTCACAATCATTATACTGCTCCTGGGTGGCATTTAAATGTCTGCATGGCCAACGTATGAGAGCAGTGTTGGTAATGAAAGCTCAGCTGTGGCGGCTTGGGGAACTGCTGTTGAACTAGACGCTGCAGGTAAGGGAGGCAAAGTTCTGTGCCACTGTCCCTTCTCCATTCCTGCCCACCGCAGCTCCAGCGCTACGTATCAAGACAGATGGGTTCATTTAGACAGAAAAATGCCCACATTAGTAAACACTCGATTAAGCACCAGATACAAGTTTCATCTCTGGAGGCACACCACTTGCCTAAAAGCACTCGTGCAATGGATGAGGTCAGTCACAGTTAAGCCACCCATCGGTTCTCCACGCCCTAGATATTATTGGTACTGCTCAGAGTTAATAATTATGCTGTTAACTCAAATGCATCAGTATTGGCCATCAGGTAACTGTCTCACTTATACACTACAAAAACAGCTGCAGTGATTCAGGGCAAGGGTTTATCTAACCTGTAATTTTGCCTGTAACAGGATCCATAAATAGATGCCTAGGGAAATACAGGATAAGCATATGATCCTTTTTTCTTTTCCACAGTATCTTTACTGAGATGAAGGAACAAGAAATCTCATAGATGTGAAATTGCATATTGTGTCCCAAAATAATAAAATAACAAAAGCTCTACAGCAGTCACTGTTCATGAGAGCTAATAGCTTTCTGTAGAAAGCAATGATGAAGAAATATTTTGCAGGAATACATTTAAGAGCTTTAATTTTGCTTTCCTATTTCTTTGTCCCTTCCTTAACCCTCAAAAAGTCTGTTCATAAAACTACTGTCCTCAAATATTTGTTACTTTAAGAAGCATCTTTCTGAGTTTTACTTTTACTTAGCTATGATCTAGTTAAAATAGCCAGAATAATGAGACAAAAGTAGTAGCACAGGTCAGTGGGGATAGTGCAAGCCAGTGAAGGATTTATTCCGAAGCCTTTTTTCACTCTTTGGAAACAGGGTATTTTGGCCCCTAAGATGGACAAGTGCTGACTAAGAAACTCTTTGGATCTCAAATGGTTGTTTTGAGCAGTGCTGTTACCACATTACTGTGAAGATACCTCAGATGCTTCAAGAACTTTTATCCATCCAACAAAATCTGTAGGCTGAAAACCAGGTGTAATGGGGGAAAAACATGCAACAGTCACTGGATGTAACCCAGCTGATGAATTCACATACCTAGCATGGACCTTTTTGTTTGTTTTCAAATGGAACCATGCAATTTTTCCTCTCATATGTTAAAAACCAGAATATTTCTAGACATGAATTCCCAAGTGGTTTCAGGAATAACTTCAGTATAGTCACGTGTAGTGGTCTACAGGAATAGTTTCAGCAGAAGCTGAAAGAGGAGCCTTCCGCACCAAGCAACAGAGAGAGAACTTTGTAGTTTTGAGTGCTCTCACCAGCAGCAGTGGCCTCTGAGGTGGTCAAGGTGACTCTTTTTTGTTTCTTTTCCATGGAAGCATACTAGCAAGGGCTACACATCTGCTTTTATACTCCCTGGTTGGTTAGGTAGCACAAATATTTTTATTGTGTTTTCTATTCTCTTAGGTATCTCAGAACCTCAGAGGATTTGACCCTAGCCCTGATTTTTCCCTCTTACAGGCATAAACATAAATACAAGATACTTTTGGAGTATAGTTTAACCTAGCCTATGTTTACTATGTGATCTCCACTTCAGTAGAACAATGCCTTCTTCTGCAACTGGCTTAATCTCCCTCTGTGGCTAAGTTTAAGTTTTGTTATTTGCCCCAAAGTAATGAAGCAGGAGGAAATCCTGAAAAAAATGTGTGTATTAGGAAACGTTAACAGCATGATAGCTAAGCCACTGAGAATGGTGAGGAGGGGGGGCGGAAAACTATTTTTTCTTGTATACCACAAATATTAGCTATAAAGAAAAAAAAAAAAAGGAAAAACTTACTTTGACAAATACTGTCCTGAAGTGATATTCCTTTCATCTGTGTCCATGCAATTCATAGTACTTGGAATAAGAGCTAGTTCAGGTTGAATCATGGTGGCAGCTGCTACAGCTCTTGCTACCAGCTCCATTGCATCCTGTACGTAATGCTCAAAGACTGACTGTGTTGTCTTGCCATGAGCGATGAGACCGAGTGGCAAACCTTCTGTCTTCAGTTCTTCCACATTCTGTGAATCCCCAATAATCCAGTGAAGTTCTGGAGGCATCACACCAAACTGGGTGGTTATTTCAAAAATCCTCCGTGTCTTTTCCATGTCGCATCCAAACATCACCATGGTAGACGTTGTGTCTTTGATGCTCTCCAGGTAAAATTGTAAGTAGTTCAGAAGGTCACTGGTTGAAGTGAGGTTTGCTGTGATGTTTATAATGGATCCCAGGTGGAACTTGGAGCTCTGTTGCGTGAGGAAGAGAAAATCTGTGATGTTCCACTCCTCCTGGCATAGCATCAGGCTGAAATTATACCAGTTGTTCATTGCAAGGATCGAGAAAGTGACATCAGCATCAGAACTCAGTGAGTTTTCTAAACTCATCTGCAGGTGAAGGGGATTCTGTAGTTAAAAACATGAAGGATACTGATCAGAAATATGCTGGACCCAGAATTAATGAGTTTGCTTAACTTTTATTCACTCATTTAGTTCCAAGTAATCACCTGTCAAGGAAGAGAACTGTGTGAGAAATAGGGAAACTTACACCCACCCAGCTTAAATGGACTGTGATTCATGGGCTTCCTCTGCTAGAGTTTGAGTCAACTTCAGTAGTCATTAATGAGTCTGTTTCCAATAGTTTGTATTTACTTAATTCTATTTGTACTTTTTTTTTACAGAGACACATGAGTAACCTAATTAAACAGATCACAGTCTACAATCAATGCATATCATGCACTGCCAATAAAACATGAGAAGATTGATTCTTTGGTAAAGAACAAGTTACTGAACACACAAGAAGCTAAGATAATGCAGACTGTGATTTCTGAGCTGGAAAATATTCAATAAATAAGCATTCCATATTCATTTTTACCACGTCATTGATGACATAACAGAACTTAACCTGTTACATTTCCCAACATCATTGCCCTTGGCTTTATCTTTTCCAGAAAAGGAAGAAGGATGTGATCCACAAATACTTTTCCCTTACTTTTATTTTTCCTCCTTCCCTGGCCCCAAAAATAAAGCTAAATTTAATCTCCAGATTTAATAAAGAAGAAGAAAAAAAAAATCCAAGCAATTTCTGGGATTTTGCTATGAAATAATTCTCTGCTCTACCAAAATGTTTCTGTCAGGCCTTCAGCTAACATATTAAGTACTGTTCCAACTTTTGGGTTCAGCTGAGAACTTAGTCTTCAGTGTAGCTTTGCTACAAAAATTATTTTACTTTACATGGGCATTTGGTTCCAGCCACGACACTGTTCAAAAAATGTGAGTTATGATGCCTGTTTCAGTGCATCTTTTGGTATGTGAGATCTTTGTTGTGACTTTATGTCAATGCTTGTCTGTATTCAGGCCCCCTCAAACTGTATCTTTCCTACACAGGTACCTGAATTTTATCTTTGTATCCATTAAGTTACTAAGCTCTTAAGGTCTGTTTTTCATTCTCTTATCTTTTCAGTAGTTAACATGTGTTATATGTAAGAGGGATCAAACCTTTACCATGTTTAAAGTTGGCATAAAATGCTATCATTTTGATTTTTAATAGTATTTTACTATTCATTATAGACTCCAGTTTGTATGGATCTTAGAAATGTCATTCTGAATTTCAAATAATACGATAATCACTCAATTTGCACTAGTTTTGCTAAAATAAAACCCTGGGTTCTCTGATGCAGATTTAAGGGCTGGAATGAGGAAAAAAAACTGAAGAGCTGAAAACCATTTATAAGCAGCAAGCTTTCATTGTGTTAATTTCTAGCTATATGAACTCATCATCTGTTTTCCAGAGCAGATCATTTAAATTCAGAGCTTGATAAAGAGAATACTGCAATTGAAGATGCTCTCAGCCTTTTTTGTTATCTCTGTGTTTTGGTACCTGTGGCCTTTTTAACACAGACACATGAGTCAGCTAATTAAATAGATCACTGTCCACAATGAATGCACATCATGTACTGCCAATAAGACACAAGAGGATTGACTCTTTGATAAAGGACAAGCTACTCAACACACAAGAAGCTAGGCTGTGCAGACTCTGTGAATGCTGGAAAACATTGCCCACTAATTAAAATATATGATTAGTTCAGGGGAAGAAGAAAAAAAAAAAGCATTGTGCATAATATCTGGGTTTGGGAAGCTGATTTGAATAAATTAGTCTCTGCAAACTGAGTATCTACAACCTTTTTTTTCTGAGGTTATGAGATGATCAGGTAAATTAACTCCAGTTTGTATTTCACTGCAAACAGATGGGAGTTGAAAGGATGTTTCTTGTGTCCTCTCTTTTCAAGATCAAGTAAAAGTATGAAGACTTTTTACACGATGATCTGCCTCCAATCAGCAAAACTTTGCAAGTGTATTGGCTTTGTTACTTTGAGTGTCAAAGAAGAAATGAGTTATTCAGTATACATAGACCATTTTGCATATATAAATGATATCACACAACCTGACCATACCTGTATGAAGAAGAGCAAATGTCTTCAGTACATTCAGAAGCACAACATCCCAAGCATAGTACTATAGCTATTATGGTATAGGCCCAGGTATACAAAAAAAATAAATCTACTGGATACAGAAAAACAACCATGTGCTGATGAGCGATAGAAGTTGGCAATAACAGCTGTGTCCATACTGTTCAATAAAACAGCCCCAGGAAACAAAAACTTGAGCATTTGTACTGCTCAGTCTGGTCTGGTTTTGGCACAAGTCAATTAGCGTTCTCATACCATGCACTGGCAGTTTGGGTTCTACCACATTTTGGGGATCACTCCCAGTAGGCAGTATGGATAAGACTGGCTCTCGATTTTACCCAGCAGGTTTAGATCTTTGAAGACCTCTATGTCCTCATGATAAACCCAGTGCATATGCACAGTTTCACATATGGAAGACTGATTCTGCTTGTCCACAGCACAATTCTTCCAGTATTAAAAAAACTTTAAACTGATAAAGATACAGAAAAGGTAAAAGTTATACCTTAGGGTCACTGGGCATTACAGTGGGCCCAGAGTAAACATAGCACCAAGCACACATAGTCCACAGAAAGTGAAACTCTGCCTCAGGGCCAGAAATCTAGACATAATTTTACTCAGCAGTGCAGGTGAAGGCAATTTCCATCTGTCTTGGCATTCTCAGCTGCAGGGCTGGACTCTTCTAGAGCACTGCAGCTACAGGCTTAGTCCTCAGGAGCTCTAGCATTGGTCATTTTGTGCAACACACTTGGACGTGTCAATGTGGTCCAACAGACTGTTCTTGTCTTGAGACACTGCTCCTTCACTGAATGGAGAAGAATTTGGGATAACCTGGCATAGACTAAGCCTGCATTTAAAAGTATTTCTTGTGTGATGGTGTGAAACCATCTGTGCTTCAGCTGTCAGTTTTAAAAGCCCACAGGTGCATCTACGTGAGCACTTAACACCACTGTGATTTATTACTTGCTAAATTCCCTGTTAATGTGCTTGAAACATAAACGTTCAGCCCTGAAAAACAGTCTCTTTTCTTTATTAAGTGTATTGGGACTGCAAACTTGTCTTCAGAAATTTTCCAATACAATAATATACATAAAATTCAGTCTCCAGGCTTTTGTCTTCTGCTTAACTTTCAGTTAATTATCAGCCCACCATGCAAACACCTCTGTAGATGTTCGGGAGGAACAGTAATTAATGCTTGTTTTGTACTAGGACTCATGAAGGGGATCCTTGATGGCCCACAGTGCTTCACTGCTCAACCAAGAACTCTCTCTGGCCTCATCTAGTCGGTGGCTGGTTGACTTTACTGGTTTTACATACCTGTCAGTGTTCAAGAGGCATCTGGAGAATGGCCTTAACCACATACTTTAACTTTTGGTCAGCCCTGAAGGAGTCAGGCAGTTGGACTAGGTGATCACTGTAGGTCCTTCCAACTGAAAATATTATTCTAGTCTAGTCTATTCTAGTCCTGTCCTGTCTTGTCCCACCTTATTCTGTTCTGTTCTGTTCCGATCTGTTCTTTTAGGAAAGGATGCAGAGATATTTGGAGATGTTTGGATTTAATACCTTAATTTTATTTTGAAAGGTTTATTTGTCATTTGTCGGATGCAGTTAAATATATAGGTCCTGAATCAGTATACAGCCTTTTTTCTTAATGCTTTTACATATTTTTTTTTGATTTGTTGTTCTTTAAAATAATTACTGCTTTTTAATGAGGAACTTCCAAAAATTGTTTATTCAGTCATTCAGTAGCAATCACTGAGACTGCATAATTTCATAGCAAAGGCTTTCGACAACTTCAATGATAGTTTAGATGTGTATAACGTTGTACTTATCATGGAACAGAATATTTATGAGATAGTATCAGTGTGTTGAACTGTGCCCATCCATCCTTATTAAAGATCTTAGGCAAACTCTTTCATTACCTCACTTCAGAAATTAGTAAAGTTTGACTGTTTCAGTTAAACTGTCAATTAAAGCACATATGGATATTCAATTACTTTGTTTAAATTTTACTTTAAGCTGTCATTAAACATGATATGACTTACATATGACTTTTTCTTCAAATTACACAGAGAATTAAAACTCACTTGCATAATGTTGTGATGTTTTTAATAATGTGTTTGCATTTACATAGCGTTACAAGCAAAAACATTTTCTATGTCTGTGAGAGCTTAATTTTTTATTGCACATCATTAGCTTGTTTTATAAACCAGCCATGATCAACTGACTTCAGTTTTTACTGGGTAAAGAACAGGCCTAGGATCCTTAATTTCTGACTAATCACCTTCAGATCAGCTACCAACAGCCTTTCCACTTTCAGTGGGCTTTGGACCAAGCCATTCACGGAATATTAAGCTTTACATGGCCCGATGTGTTTCGCTCATGTACATCAGCAGAGGCTGTAACTACTTATTTCCTTTTCGCATCCCAACCAGAGCAGTTTTACAGTTTCATTGCCTGAGACACCTGAGATAGCAGGTTCATTTAACAACTGAAACATGATTTGCATTTCATTAATGCAGTATTTTTCAAGCCTCCATTTCAGTAGTCTGCAGACCCATCGTAAAGTCTTGTGAGCACGAATGCCTGGAGCTGGACTGACTTTCACCCTGAAGGATCTGGCCATTTATCTCTTCAACCAAACTTGTAATGCTAATTAGGCATGGTCATGGTGACATTTTATTTGACATTATGATAGCTTCATTAGCAGAGTTAAAAGCAGGTATATGAATATTCTTTTGATAACTGCGTAAAAGTAAATAATACACAGAAAATATTATTCCCCTCTGCCTCTCGGGGGCAAAGGCAGTGCTCAAATACGTATTTACAATAAGAAACACAAAAGAGAAACAGGCTATAGAATTATATCAGAGAAAGCTCCACTGAAGGAAAAAAAAAAAGCCTTCTGGCTTACAGTGCAACTGTGGGGACTCACAGCTT